CTCGTTTTCGAAATAATCTCGATAACGGCTGCCTAATCGAGGAGCAGTCTCATGGGTCATATTGTCCTTCTTGACAAGACCTTCACTAAAGCTCCATATGATTTCCTCCCGTAGTGGACCGTTTGGGCTAGAAAGGGCGGGGACCGACTCGTGTCAATTTTTTCTGAAGTCCGGTCGCCCCTCTGAAAAGAACATATTCTCCTCGCAGAGTATACATAAGTCCTGCTATGCATGTGAATGACGGTATTGACGGGGATATCTCATCGAGAGGGTGAGTGTCGTCCTGGATCTATGTTCATGCTATATGTCCCTCCAGGGAAACTCATGGAGGGAGAAGAAGCCATAGAGTAAGAATTCGAGTGGAGGCCGACAAAGTTTCTTATAGCGCTCGATGGATCCAACTTGGGCCCTCTCAGAGAACAATTGAGCGGGTCTTTTTGAAAAGGGCGCCAACACATCCCCTTGAAATGTCGTCTTCTCCGACCGTGGCGCGATTCTCGTTCATCTGGGTATGATGTGTGCTTGAAGGGTCTCACGGAGCCTGCCCTGTTTATCAGCCTATAGCTTGTGCGGGTGAATTTCTCGTCGAGACGACGCGACGCCTCGGAACTACGAGTTCCGAGTCCGACCGTAACTTCGACCGTCTCTGCGGCGCCGCGCTACGCTTGTGATCGTTCGACCCGTCGACTTCCGTGGAAAGATCGAGGATTCACGTTGAAACGCGACGTCGTTACCGTAAGGACACGGATCGCTTGACTCCTCCGAATCTTCTGTACTAGATGCTTGTTGGATTAGAATCGATGTGGCTCGTCAATGATGGCAATATTGTCGATTGGAATAAAACTTCAGGTTGAGGGGGCGCGTGGGCCGATTCGAAGCATCCCCCTTGTCTGATCTCCATCGAAGAGCGAGCTCGGAGAGCTTTCACCGATCTATGCATTACCCATCGAGTCCCTGACACAGCAGGTAACCCGTCTTTTCTCCAGATGCCAGCAAGAAAACGATCAACGGCGAAGCACACTGTGGTCGCAACGGAGTCTCTAGGACGGAGCTCGAGCGTGAATGGGAATATTCCACAGACAGCGGCCCTCTCGGAAGAGCTGGGCGAACTTCGAGTCGACACCAACACTCTGGAAAAGGTATAACTCTGCCAGAATAGGATAAGTGTTGCGAATATTGTCCGTGACGTTCCCGTAAGCTGCATGTTCTCACGATTGATGAGTACGTGCAATATCCAGCTAAGAGATTATCCTTCTTTTCACAGATGCCCGCAGAAGTCGAAAACCCGCGAGACGGGTCGCACAATTCGCTGGCTTTTCCTCTTCATGTCGTTTCAAGATGTAACTCGGATAACAGAAGAATTCTCGAGTTGGATGATGGTCGTATTCTCTGCGCTGTCTCCACTGCCGGGGAAGTGGAGCTTGGTGAATGTTTGAAGTTGGTTTATGACGACGCTGAACTAGCATTCCGATTCGACCCCGGTCCTTGCAAGCTTCCGATCACAAGTATTGAGAAGCTCTTAAATCTATAGATGATTCTGCTGATGATGAATGATCGTTTAATGTCAACACCAGTCTCTGAAAACTCGAATGAATAAATATGCATCGGGTCAGCTGGTCTGACGTGCAGACCCTGTACGTCATTCGATGAGTCACCTAGATTCGGGGTCGGCACATAATTGTTCCACTGGCCGTGTAAACCCATTCCTTTTGAGATGCGGTCCTCAGCTAACGGATGGTCACCAATTTCACGGTGAATACGGTCCGAATACTGCCGATATGTTTAATGAAAGATAGTCTCAACGGCCCGTAGAGAATCGCATGAGACCGCAGGAGTTTCCACGGCTTTGAAGAACGGCCACGGCGGCTCCAGGAAACCGTCTCCCGCAGAGACTTTCCCGAGGGGACGGCCGCGGGGGAGAACATCAACAGACAAAAAGGAGGTCAACAATTGTCTTGTTGTTCGATATCATCCGAAGGCGCTTTCGCTTCCGCAAACGGTGGACGATGAGTCGAGATTGACTGCCGTGACTCGAAATGAAGTTTCGTGCTATCATAGGAATTCTTCAAGAAAACAAGGTCAGAATCAGAGAGCTTCTCATCACTCAGGCGCTCTCGCGGAAACTGGCTGAGTGAGTTGTTTAGGCCTGCTGGAAACCCCCCTCTTCCCACCCCTGAGGCCACATTCGTGGGCCAGATCAGCCCGAACCATTCCTGACCGAAGATATATTGGAGAAGCTCGAAGGATCTTGCGAAGCAGATTCTACATGGAGGGCCATCAGCGGTTCACATTTCGTCGTCCATGTTCCTCCTAGCGGACGTACCTAATCAGCTGTTCGGGATGTTCCAGATGAAAAAAAAAGCACTGAGAGGATGTTCCACGTAGAACCATGGACCAGTCGAGCCTGCCGCAGTAATTTGGCATTATGGCTCTCAACGTCATTATTTGTTCTTCGATTCAACCTATAAACCGAGAGCTTCTCGGGTCGTTCCGAGCCAATGCGACCTCACATACTTCAGGAAGTTGGGGGATCCAATGAGGGAGTCCCGTGCGCTCTCGGCGAAAAACTCGAAGGCTTTCTGAATGAGGTGCGCCGGGAGTAGGGGAAGGGCTAATGATGACTTCGAAAGAATGACGCCTGGGCGGCATATCGCAGCCGCAAGCCCCATCTCACCGGATCTTTTCACCAAGCGTTGGGAATAGTGGAACCCCAAACCGTAGAGGACAGCGTGGGGGAACGCCGAGTGGATTCAAAGCTATATCCGATTGAAGTTTGTCGGTTGAGTAATAAGAAGATTTTGAGGTCATTCGTCAACATTTCTGAGTTTAGAAAATTTGCCGAAGTCTTCGAAGGTTGCTACCGACCGAATCCCGTTCCCGCAGTTGAGTTCTTTGATCTCGTTTTCCTCAAACTAAAAAAGCGTCTTTTGAACAACGGCCAGAGGAAATCTCGTGATACCCTTCGTCGACCGGAGGGTAGTATCGAAACTCTTTCGCAGATCTTCGAACTCACGGAACTACGTGTTCCGTGTTCACGTAGTTCTACGCCCACAAACCGCACCCCGGGGATTTTTTATATTCCAAACGACGACGGCCTCTCGATACGTTTCGGTCATGGCAACCTTGTTCGAGCCCCAGAAGGCTTGTACTTGCATCTGCAGTGAGGCTCCTGGCTCAGTTGAGTCTCTTCTCCCGCTACTTTGAGAGATAATCTCAAGATAAAGTTCTCTTCTGCTTCCCCTTCTCCCATAAGGTGATTCTCAGGTATGGGTACCCGCAGCCCACTGTCAGTTCACAGTAAGTGATCGGTCCATTTATTTGGATGAGTTCAGATTTGATTGGTTCTGTGAGCTTCTCCCCAAAACTCAGATTAGGCCGAGGGTGTGATCGCTCCTTCGCAAAAAGGTCCATACATGGGATCCATTCCTAGACTTTACGCTCTAGACCACGCACGGCTTGCTGCTAGAATCGCTCTCTCGACCCTCGGAAGATTCCTCTCCGCCTCCTCCACCATTTACTTCGCGTTCCTCGACTGTTTGAGTTGCTTGAGATGGAGAGCGACTACTGACGATCATCCTTATACTTCCGACTGTCTGGTGCTGATATAGCAGGTTCTTCTTTGGCCTCGCAGAGAAGTATAGAGGCCGCCGCTGAGCACACATGTCGCAGACCGCAAAGAATCTCAATATCCATCGGATACTGGTGGAAATATTAGCGTGTCCTTGTTTTCTCCTCGGTGATAGTGATGAGTGATGATATATTGTGTCACCCGGATACCTGCTTCCCCATATCCCCCCACAGGAAGAGACTGTGTCTCTGTATACCCCAGTATACGCAAGGCAGCAGAAATACATGCAGAAACAACAGGCTTACCAGCTAGCAATGCCATGTACAGTAGATTCTGACAGCCTCACTCTGATTTGTTCTGATGAACGGACAACCGGTATAGGCAGACCTGCGCTACGAGCGCGCCCCACAGACTCAGAGCTCCCCAAATACCTACGAGAAGGACCAGTTTTCGGAGGACCCTTCCTAGCGGTTCGTCGGAGTCCAATAAATCGGGCTTCGACCATGATTTCTCTATGAGGGAGCCTCCAGGAGGCGATACCTGTCGAACATGAACGAATTCGTCTCGGTGTCCTTCGACAACTTTTTTGTTTTAAGCTCATTGCGGGAGATGGAGCCGCGGTCCCGCGCTACATGGATGCCTTGTATGAGGAGACGCTACCGAGAACATCCGGAAGTCTTCAGCCACGGTCGGCAATCTAATCACTTTGACTTCGAGGAGAACATAATTCCCGAAACGCGCATGTGCATTGAGCTCCGATTGAACGTGAGCCAGATATTTCGAGAAATGCGCGTCGGACTTCACCTACGAGCTCTCGACCTATGCAAAGCATGCGTAGGACATCGAACTTCGGCTCGAGATCGATAGAATGTTTCCAGACACGCATCGAGGTGGGGAAGAATTCGTCCGTGGTATTGTGATGCACATCTGGATTCGGACCCCAAGATTCACTCATGGTCGATGTTCGATCTCGACTAACATGTTTTGCTTACTACATTGAAGCCGCATTTCTGGAAGCTCTCGCTTCCAAAAACCCCCGCTTCCCCTGGCATACCTATTCAATCAAACATGCGAATGTCCGAAACCTTCACACCTATTAGCAGCTCGAGCAGTGGCCGAAGGGTCATCTTGCGATGTCATCGTATTACAGAGAGCTCAGAGCAAGACCCCTATATCGGTCCGAGAACTGCTCCAGATCCTGGCTGAAACGTTTCCGTTTCCGGTTCGCTCGCCTTCTAGATTTTTCAAATCTGCGACGAGTTTGTCCGAAGACTTCTCGTGCTCGAGATCGATTCAGTGAGGCAAATACAGGATATCCCGAAAAGTGACCGCTGTCTTTCTCGATGCCTCGAATAGCAACACCGTTGCGCAGGTCGGAACGAAAGACGTTCCGGTACGTTCGACGGGCCATGATAAACTTCGAATTACAGTGATGCTCACTGCAAGATCCGACGGCTTCAAATGCAAGCCATTCGTACTTCTCAAGTGGAAGCGAGCCGACCCGAAGATTGTCTTCGACTTCAAGAAATCTTTAGAGCTGTGCTGGATGGGCACAACGTGGATGAACGATGAGTCGACTTCATTACACCTCCAGAAAACGCTGGGCTCTTCTCTTTTCGGCAAGAGACTACTCGTGTGGGACAGCTTCCGAAGTCACATGAGTGAGAAAACCAAGACGCTCCTCCGAGATCTCCGTCTACACAGCGCAATCATCCCCGGAGGATGCACTAAAGTACAACCTCCAGGCGTTTCGTGGAACGCCCCGTTCAAAGCCGGGATCCGCCGTCGCTACGAGGAATGGATGGCGCACGGCGAGAAACGTTTGACCCGTGGGGGAAATGTGGCTGCCCCCCCAATGGAAATCTACTTGCCATGGATTGCGGATTCGTGGCGGGAGTTGCCCGAGGACTTGATTGTCAAGTCATTCAAACAGTGCGGCATCACTGTCGCCTTCGACGGTTCGGAGGATGACCAGATCCCTTGTTTCAAACCCCATGGACAAATACCTGCCGGTCGCCAGAAGCTCGCTGAAGCTCGAAGAAGTCATGATTTGGGAAACGAATGCAACCTTAGCGGGGTGTCGAACGAGACGGACATAGACGAACTCACAGATGATGAGCTGTTAGATGATGCGTAAGCGAAGGAGATAACGGATAACGTGATATACACGAATTAGTGGGAGAATTATCGGGAGCGGCGTGAAAGTTGTCACAGCCGTCCGATAGCAGACGAACACAGGAATGGTTTCGCCGAGGAGAGTATAGCTGTGTTGGTTATCATGGAGTAGGTGAAGGGTAGCAGATTTAGATGAGGAGATGAGGAGTTTCCAGCGTCGGGCCCAGCGACCGATGTTGGAGAGAGTTTCTTGTAATGCTTCGGCTGCCCCTGGTTTGGAGGTGTCTGCGAATATTTTAGTGTCATCAGCGAAAGTGCGGTGATGAACACCCTCGACGATTTCATGCTTGAGATCAGTCGTGAAGAGAAGATATAATAAGGGTCCAACGACGCTGCCCTGGATTCCTGAAGTTCGGGATGTTAAGGATCTCGGTGTCTTATTCACGTCCGACCTTAAGCCAGAGAAACACATCCTCACGGCTGTAGCTAGAGCCGACAGAACGGCCAACTTTGTACTCAGAGCTTTCAATTGTAGACTTCCCGCTGTATACTTCAAAGCCTTCCAGGCTCTCGTCCTCCCCTCCCTCCTTTACGGGTCCGAGGCATGGCGTCCCTGGCTCAAGAAGTCCCTCGCTCTCCTCGAGAAATTCCAACGTAAATTCATCAGAAGAGTCGCCTTCAAGTGTCGTGCCGAACCTGACTATGATTCGCTACTACCCATCTCTGAAATCCTAGACAGGAAGGAATTGAATTGAATTGAATTGAATAGCTCCTTTATTGTAAAGGGGGAGGGTACATGCAGTATCCGAAAACAAATAGAAAATATCACCGCCCCTGGTTCCTAATGGCGTGTAATAACAAGATATTCGGGGGGCCCTGTGAATGTGCTAACTTGGATATCCTCCATGCGAAGAGGTTGTTTACACGTTCAGTTCTGGAGACGAATTTAGGCATGACAGTACAACCACTTCTACGCGTATTGAGCCTGATGTCAAAGAACAGATCCAGCAAATCGGCTACATAGAGCTGTCGGAGGACGCGGAGATCATACTTATCGAGAACCTCAGACAGTGGGGGGGGGGTTCCAGGTCGTGATACGAGCAGCGAAGAGATAACCGCCTTCGGAAATAGTTCTGGACCCCATCGATTAATTTACGAAGATGAACGAGGGAGGGCTTCCATACCGGGGCACAATACAGGAACCGCGAAAGTACCAGCGACTTGAATAGGCGAACATATAAATCTGGTTGTCTGACGACAAGGCAGCGAAAGATCGAGTTGACAAGCGCTTGAGAGGAGCGTACCAACTGACATACATGTTCGCCGAAATCAAGATCCGGGCGAATCCAAACCCCAAGATCTCTCGTGGAGGGGGAGCAGGAGAGAACAGCACCGTCAAGCGAGTAATCCCAGTCGAAGCCGGATCTGAGAACCACTGTCTTCTCATGGGACAGCGACATACAATTATCGGAGCACCAGCGTAAGACGCCGTGGATGGCTTCCTGGAGACGAACGCAATCGTCAGCCCGCGAAACCGATGACCACAGCTTAAGGTCATCGGCATAGAGCAGGTAGTCGATATCCGGAGGTAGATAGTCGCCTATGTCGAGCAGGTAAATGGCGAAGAGCAACGGGGAGAGCGAGCTCCCCTGCGGGGACCCACTTGAGGCAGGGAAAGGATCACTGCGGACACCGTCCACCATTACTCGAAAAGAACGATCTCTAAGAAAAGACTCAATCCATGCGACGGTGGAGTGGTGAATGCCGATGGTACGCAACTTAACGAGGAGACGAGCATGGTCCATCCGATCAAAGCGCTACGCTGATCAAAGTATATACAGTGCAGGTGTCGTCGCTGATTGAGGATGGAAGCCCATTTCTGAGTCATAACAAGAAGTTGTGAGCAAGTGGACCGGTTTTTGACGAAACCATACTGTTTATCGTCAAGGAGGGAATTTTTCTCAAGGAAAGAATAGAGATGTGAGACAATGATCTTCTCAAAAATCTTACATGGAACAGAGCCCTGAGCAATCGGGCGATAATTCCGAGCGTTATCCCGCCTACCCTTCTTGAAAATCGGAGTGACGACGGATTGACGAAAAAAGTCGGGAACAACCGAGTCATTATACGATCGCTCAAAAATTAGGGCGAGTGGTTCCGCCAGAAAAATGGCAAAGCGTCGCAGAAAAATCGCAGGGATGCCGTCGGGGGTGATGTTAGCAGTAGGCGTTCAGCTCGCAAAGGAGAGAGTAGACTTGAGACTCATCGAAGGCAAGAAACGAATCAGGGAACAAGCTTTGGCGAGCTGCCGGCCTAGGAACTGAACTGGGACGTCTCCCGTGGATAAAGACGGAAGCGAAATGTTCCCCAAGGACTCGAGATTTATCACTTGGATCAGTAATCCGGAGAGAGTCGACTTTGAGTGAGGGTATGTGGCCACGGGGACGCAAACGATTGTTGACATACTGGTAGAAAGACCGAGCGTCTCTGAAATCGAGTTTAGACTCGGTGAGGATACGGAGTCTTCTTGAGGCCTTGATCAGTCGATTGCTGAAGGATGGGTCATTGGGACCGGAGCGAGCAAGGAGGCGAGAGATAAAGGCATGAACCGAAGTCGCGTTTGAAGAGATATCAAAGGGGGGAACAAATTCGGAGATGAGGGATGAGCAAACATCGATGAATTTGATATACATCTGCTCTACGGAGAGGCAGTCAGCGAAAAATGCCTTCCAGTCAATTAGATCCAGATACCCGGCAATCGCCATCGCGTCCATGCGACGAAAATCTGGCCGTGAGGATATAGGCGGAGGAGGTGGGGAGAGGTCCAGAATGTCGAAGCGGATAGCAAGATGATCTGAGGGAATAGGCGGGGAGACAAGCGAGATGCGGTCGAGGGCATCGGGAACATTAGTAAGCAGCAGATCAAGGATGCCTCCATCTCTATGCGTCGGGTGATTGATGAGCTGCTGTAGATTGTTGTTGAAACAACAGTTAGAGAGCAGGCTCTCGGGCGAGTCCGACACGTGCAGAGGGAGCCTAGACCAATTGATTTGCGGAAGATTGAAATCCCCCAAAACAACAACAGGAGCATCGGCGGATGACAAGAGGTTGATGGCCGAGCAGGCCATGGCCACG